ATACATCGTTATATTCTATATAGTTGTGCCACTAGCGAACGTAATGATTTCAGGGGGAAGTGAATATATAATCTTATAAGTAAAAAAAATTACCGCAATTCCCCATGTATAACACGCATTTTTTCTAAAAAATAATAAGCAAAATCAGGGGTGCGCATTATGCACAGCTACAAAAAAATCTTTAAAAAATTGCCGTAAAACAAAATAAGAATTATTATAAAACTAAATTAGAATAATATTATTCTGTTTTTAATAAGTGTAGGAAACGCTGGCCGTAATGAAATTAGAGAAGTACAATTTATAGGGTTTGATTACCAAACAAGGGATGCGTATTATGCATGTGTAGAATAGATAACTGATAACTGACATCCATTAAACATGGCACGTGGAACTAGAACAGTCTATCCCAGGTTTATGCTCCTATATTCTGTATTTGAAAATATGCGTTTCCTTTAGGAAAGGAGATATTCGAAACAATTCCGGAGCGCATGTTTACATTTGGGCAAGATCCGATAGCAGCACTCTCAGGAACTTTCCGTCTAAGTAAGTTATTTTCTCTTTTAATTAATATAGCATTCGTTAGACTGAAGTTGTCCTTTATATGTGTTTATTTCTTGCTCCATCTGTTTTTTTTTTTATTTTTCTTATTTTTTCTACCGTTCTTAATTGCAGCCTTTCCTGTTTTATATACACTTTTCCTTTGCCATTTGTGCTTTATTATTTTTTACTTAATGTTATTATCTAGATTTATCAGTAAAAAAAAGTGGTCTTCGACAGGGGATCAGGCTGATACGATATTGATCCTACGAGATTGAGCTGAAAACTTCACAGGCCAACTGTAATGGAGTAATGCTGGATATGTGAAATATTTCATTAATTTATATATTCTTATTAATAACTGATTGTTTATTTCAAGGTAAACTGGATTCTGGTTCTTCAAACAAGTTTTCAAAATAACTAATAGCAACTTCTCTTGAAAACGGTAAAAAATTGGAATCGTGCTGTTATCAAGTACTTGCAGAAAAAGGGTTTAAACCCCAAGACAATTCCTGCTGACATGGTTGATACATTTGGGGATATTTCTCCAGTTTTATCAATCTGGCAAAAGTGAGCAACTGAATTTAGGAGGAGAAGGAAAAACGTTGAAGACCTGGACATCTTGGAACTTCCGCCATCGAAGCAAACAATGATATTGTTCACCATAGGGTGATGGATGAGAGGCGATTGACTATAAATGAAATAGTCAATGCTCTGAGTATAATCCGTGAAAGTGTTGAGAATATTCTACACAGTGGGAATGACTAATGTTTTTGCCCGGTGGGCCCTACGTCTTCTTACACCTCATCAAAAGTACACCTTCAAGATCATTTCACGGTAAAATCTGGCATTGTTCGAGACAGATTCCGCTAGTTTCAATTATCTTTTGCTAACCCAGCGTTGATTTCGTCTGAGCCAGAGGCAAAAAGACAATCTATACAATAGATACACCCCCTCATCGGCTACTACAAAGAAGGTCAATGTCGTTTAATATTGCAGGGAAAGTGATGGCCTCAGAATTTTAGGATGCAAAAAGTATAGTTTTTATTGATTATCTTCAAAAGCGGCATACCATCAATGGGGAGTACGATGAAATCTTGCTGTTACAAGATGCTAAACGCCCAGGTAAAAAATTAGAAAGCAGGTCTTCTTTCATGGAGACAAGGATCCAGCACAAGTCATTGTTTTTACTATTTGATAAGGATTTAGGCTTTCTGATTTTCCAAAAATAAAAATGGTTAATTTCCCTCTCCCTCAAACGTAAGGGTAAAAAAACAATGGAAATGTATTTTATATATATATATATATATATATACACTGACCACGTTCACTTAAAACTAGAACGAAATATATCACTTCTGCCCTACCCTCCGATAAATTCCCCTGACATAAGTTGTCGATATATTGACGTAAATCAGTCAAGCAGGCGCAAAAGCAAGCACCACGGTTGGAAATGTCTCTCTTAAAAAATTTTCTCATAAAAAAGTAAGAAATGTTTCTTTCAAATTACATTAAGTATTCTTTAAATTTTCTAATTTTCTTAAGATAACAAAAGAAAAAGATGTAACTGAATTTTACATGATTTTTAAACTGCGAACTTTGATTTTGATTACAAAGTCAGAAAAAAAAGGGCCGATACGACTGAATTTTAACATCATAGCATGGATTAAAAATTCTGAAAAATATTCAGAAAATACTTTGGTCTTTCATCTTAATAGTAACATAAACATTTAGACGTTAAAAAATTGTTTTATCAAGTTAGGGGCCTTTTTTCCTTCATGCTATGCTTTTTTTTTTTTTGCTTTTTTGTGAAGTGTAGGACAAACCTATTTTAACGTCTAATGTGCATAAGTGTTACTTTGATTCTCCCGATTTGGCTCCATCTGACTATCATCTGTTGCCCAACATAAAAGAAAATTTGGCTGAGTATCGCAGTGATGATGATGTAATATCTGTTGTTGATGACATTTTGGACAAACAGGGTGTACAGTCCTCTTTGAACAGTTAGATGTCAGTTTATCTGGATGGTAACAATGCAGTTATAAATAAAAAGAGTTGAAATGAATACATTTCAAAGCTCTAGTATCTGTCGATATTTCTGAGATGAGGTATTATGTACACTATTTACATTATTCGGACTATTGTCGTCATCATTGTCGCCATATTTATTACAACGTTTCGGCCGTTGTACGCTCCAGACAGGATCTAACCAACAACTTTATCCACTGTACCATGTGACCATGAGGACACATGGCACAGTGGATAAAGGCGCTGGTTAGATCCAGTGACAGGACCCAAAGAGTGTGAGTTCAATACCCGGTTAACTTGACGAGGGGAATTAACAGGAGATAACTAACTGACATCCATTAAACATGGCACGTGGAACTACCCCAGTGAGCGAAATAAAGTGTTCAGTTCGATATTCCAACCACCTGAAGAAGGCCGGAGCGTACAACGGCCGAAACGTAATAAATATGGCGACAAAGATGAGGACAATAGTCCGAATAATGTAGATAGTGTTCAAAGCTTTACACTTTCATAGTCAGCCTATGAACTTTTCCATCGGTAGAACTTTATAACGGTCGCAAAGACAAAAGCTTTGATGTTTACCGAAATTGAAGATCAAAAGTGTGTGCGGCTTAATTTTTAATTATACCCTTCTCCCAGCCTAAATCACTATTTTTCTTAATTTTATTTTCAGTGCTAATGGCCTTGTACCATACTTATTTTAGACTTAACAGATTACAAGTGATTTTTCTCATCTGTGAAAGTGGAATATTTTCATCTATATCGCCTCTCGCTATGATTCAGAATCGTGTACAATCTCCGTTGGCTTGCTTTTTAAATCAAATATGTTCGGTTTAACAAGAGAAAAATGTTGTCGTAAACATCTTGGATTCTGTCACAGAATGTCAACGATGAATGAGCGTTGATATCCATACATAATACTATTATGTTTTTACATCCCATTTTGCTGTCTTTTGCGTTGTAGCTATTACTGTAAACATAAATGTTGTGTTCTTTGCTTGTTTACACTGCTTTTTGACGAAGTAGACAGTAAACAGGAGACAATGGCCCTAAAACTTTGGCTTCTCATCTATAAGATTTCCCATTCATCAGCCTGCTTTTCTTCTGTTCCTTCTACTACTACTACTACTACTCCTACTATTACTACTAATATCATTACGACTACTTTTGGTACTTCGTCTGCTTCGAATTCATCTTCTACTTCTTCTTCTACCACTACAATAACATCTACTATTTTTGCTACTTCCACTGCTTCAATTTCTTCTTCTTCTTCTTCTTCTTCTTCTTCTTCTTCTTCTTCTACTACTACTACTACTACTAATAATAATAATAATAATAATACTTATGCTACTTCCTCTGCTTCTATTTCCCCTTCTTCTTCTTCTTCTTCATCTTCTTCTCTACTACTATTACAACTACTAGTACTAATAATACTACTATTCTTGGTACTTCCTCTGCATCTATTCCCCCTCTTTCTCCTTCTTCATCTTCTTTTTCTCTACCACTAATATTACAACTCCTATTACTAGTACTACTACTACTACTACTATTTTTTGTACTTTCTTTGCTTCTATTTCTCCTTCTCCCTCTTCTAGCTCGCCTCTTCCTTCTCCTTCTCCTCCTCCTCCTACTACTACTATTTTTGGTACTTTCTCTGCTTCTAATCTTCTACTACTACTACTATTACTATTACTACTACTATTTTTGGTTCTTCATCTGCTTCATCTCCTTCCACTTCTAATTTTTCCTTGTCCCTCCTTTTCTTCGCCTTCTACTACTACTAATACTACTACTATAATTTTGAGTACTTCTTCTTCTTCTTCTTCTTCTACTACTACTACTACTACTACTACTACTACTACTACTATTTTTGGTACATCATATGCTTCTATTTCCACTTCTTTTTCTTCTATTTTACTGGTAGCATTTCTATCAGTGTCTTCAGCAGGTGCTCGTCGGTAACTTCTCGGGTAGGAAGATTATGTGCATCGATAAGCACCTGATGAATGCCGGTGGGTACAGCGGTCGATACAACAAAGATAACGACAACAGTCCGCATGTATATAATGTAAGTAATGGTAATTCCTCCTTATAGAAATACAGGTAGAAAATATGTAAACGTTTAGGCATCCAAGATAACAATCAATATTCTTTAATCGATGCGACTGGACTTCAACAAAATCCCGAGCAAAAAACATGCAGTTGGTACGTCAACTCAGCTGTTGACAGCAGCGATAATATGAGCCGACCATAACATATGCCTCATAAAGTATCATATGGGTACGTGTGAGAGAATATTGTCATCATCTGTGGAAAGTGGCTGCGGTTTTAGTGGCCATTGCTGGAAAAATAAACAAAATGTTGTGCATCAACTTAAACAATGGTTAGTACTGCGTATGACGACAAACTACACCCGGCAACAAGCCCTCTGATCG